TTGAAACAATCTCGGGGGGGGGGGTACTTTTTGTGCGCCTCCGCCTGGCGGAAAATTTTCCCTGAATTGGAACACGGCACCCCTAAGCAGACATAAATAACCCACCCTAAGTTGTCCGAGCTGTATGTATATGTATCATGCCACTTGGTTATCATGCCCTTTGTTTGTTCGGTCATGCTTTTTCTCAAAATTTAGTTGATCGCTCAGATTCTCTATTCCTATACACTGACTGACTAGCATTTTTAATGAACCACGAGCAATGTCTCAGTGGGCAATGCATTGGCGATGGGTATCCTAATAATCAGTTTGCTCAACACGAGGGTTTTTAGAGCGCAAACATCTATCGTGAAATTGCATTCGGCCTCAACTCTCAACAAAGCTGTGCCATATATTTTGTAAGCGCATCTGAGGTATTTGCTTTTGCATTTGGATGTCCGACATATGCATAAAACATTGGTTTAATTCTATGTTTATTTCTGTCTTTGTTTAAAAGTTGGTCTACACACTAACATAAACTTAAACAAGACAAAAAGTTCTTGGTACCCCCATGAAAAACTGACCAAAATCAGACATTGACAGTTAACAAAACAACATATCGAGCAACTCTGAATCAGTGTATAGTTTCTATTAAAAATAAATAAATGCCCGGGGGCTCATAACGACGGGCCGGGTATCTCAGGTGAATCTGTGTACAAAAACAATCATTAAGCGATAAGTCTTCACAATCACTAAAAAGGGCAAATATTTCCTCACATTAAGCACATTTCCTTACTTTATAAGACAACATTTTAAAATTTCTTTAAAAATTCAAAAGCCACACAAACACCCTTAAATTAATTAGACATTCAGTCTAAATATCGCTTAATCCTATCCCCGCATATATCCACACTTTTCATACAAACAACTTCTTTTATCAAAACAATTGCACATTAATGTTCGACACTCAGTTTTGGTCAGCGTTTTAAGCGTTCGATTGCTCTGAAGTCTGATTCTCATCATCTGCCATTACAATTTCCTCCTGGTTGGCCCCATTGATGATGACGTCATATGTCACGTTGCCTTTCTTACGGTTCCGCGATTGGCGAGTTTTGAGCACGACGACAGCGAGAATGGTGAAGACTACACCCCAGAACGACAAACCCACCACCAAGACTACAATTATAAGATGACTATCTATTGGTTCCAGTGGCGTTGACGTCACACCCTTTGAGGGCTGATTGGTGAGCACAACTTCTGGTTGCTTAGTGACCAATGGTTGCTGTCCGTTGATCGGTTCCGGAGTTTCTGTTGATATGCTTACAGTTGTCTCTTTATCTGTTATTGGCTCGGAGCTTGACGTGGCAACGACTGTTTGAGACACAAGAAAGTTCATGATCCTTCAAAAACGAAAGAACTGCATGACATGCTATTTTGTTGGTCCAAACATAATGGGGTGCTCTTGACCTCACCATGCATATTTCTCCATTTTATTCGAGGCTGTATCTCCAGGAATTATAGAATTCGAAGTGCACGCTCAGTTTCCCTTTTCAGGATGTTTGATAGAATACTACTTTGTCGTGACTAATGACAAGATATTCCTATTGAGCGTTCTTGAAGGTGCATTCCTTACAACTTTGTGCTACAATTTCTACTAATTATCTTTTATTTTATAAACGCTTACAATAATTGAGGACCGACGAAACTCCATTTGAAGCAAGATATGGGACGGAGAGAACCCTCCCGCCTTTGTGTTGGTCATTGTTTGATTGGAATTTCAGGAATTCTTTACAGACTTCTAGGGGGGATGTATTAGGTATCAATAGTCTAGAGTGTGTATAGGGATTGTACAGGTAAGGGGGGGTACCCCTCCGTCCCATATCTTGCCTGGTATACGAAACTCACCTGGTCCCCCGCATGTAAATCCAAGCGCCAGGGTAATGTCGTCAATAGCGATATCTGATTTGAAGCCTTCACCCCTCTTGGCTTCAAAGGCTATCTGCAACCCAAACCAGGATTCATTATCTCGGTCATTAAGCACTGATGACAGCGACTTCGCAGAGGTTATGTCACAAGTGTGCAGAGAAACATTTTCTTGAGAAACATGATGATGATTTAAATACAGGACTCTGAGAAAATGCTAAACATTCTCGGCAGTGCTGATATTCTCGATGGAAGGAGTTTCATCTAACACTAATTTTTCCTTAAAATGTTAAATGTTACAAATGTTGAAATATTATAACAGCGGTCAGAATGTGATAACATGTTGTACAAAGTGAAATTTAACTAAGAAAATTTCAAAACAATTATTTAGAAAACAGTTTTTTTTCAGATAAGTCTCATAGGTTTGTACACAGGGGTATCAAGTGTTGTCCCTTTCTAGAACTCTTTCCAGACCGGAGTGCGTGCTGAGCAATGATCAGTTCAAAGTCAGTGGCAAAGCAATAATAATAGTGAAATTACAAAATGTTGTCACTTTCACTTCAAGTGGAAAAGGTATTACGATAACCAGGTTGTTACCTCGAAATCGGACGACGAACGGCCCTCAACCACGGCCTCCATCCACTCGTCCCCGTGGTCTCCCTTTCGTGTCCACAGGGCTTCTGTGGCCAACTCGCCTCCGCTCCGTAGGCGAACGCTCAGACGGCCCGCGTGTTCGCCGTGCATGTGGTAGAAGAAGCGGAGACAGAAGCCTGGGGAAGGCCCGTGGGTCGGGCTGAGGAGGCGAGCCACGTCCCAGACGCCCGGACCAGAGGCTTCGATGTACAAGTAGTGACCTGTTGGGGCAAATGGTTGAAGGAAATTACAGGGAAAAAATATACATTTTGCCTTCAAAACCGACTGGCGCACTGAGACACGTAGCTGAGACTGCTAAATGCGCACGTGCTGAGCTGGACTTTGAAAGAGGTTGTGCTCTTGTTACGTGGTGCAACTACGTCATGTGTACAAGCTCCTCACTGACGTGCACTGTGACGAGCCTCTTGCATTTTATTGAAAGAGCAACTCTAAGGAAAACATGTTTTTTTTCTGATTTTATCTGTTCAAATAAATAGGGAAGCATAGAAATCGAAAGCAGTGTCATTTGTCTTCAGACCTCAACTATAACAAGCTAAAAAGGGCTTTTTCTGTTCATGCCAAGATGCAAATTCTGAATGTAGATTGCGTCATTCTGAGAAAACATATAAAACGAGGGGAACCCTCACCTTGTGTTCGTAGTGAATAATTCTCTTGTGCACGCCAAGCAATGGCCAAGGGGTTGTCTACTATGAACACAGGGTGAGGGTTCCCCTCGTTTTCCCTGTTTTTTCAGATTGACGCAATCTTCATTCAGCATGTTCAGAATTCGCATCTTTGCATGAACAGGAAAAAGCCCCTTTTAGCTTGTTATGGTTGAGCTCTGAAAACAAACGACAGTGCGTTTGACTAGGATGTTCTCCAATTTATTTGAACAGATAAAAAGCAAAGAAAACATGTTTCCTTAGAGTTGCTCTCTAACGAGGACCGTCTTTGGCTTTGTCTTCGACAGTCCTTTCTTTCATTTAAACATCCGTCAATGAGATAAATGACATGAGATTTTTAGTTGTGCAGTGCGTTGGCCGTTAAAATCCAACACAATACTGAATTTTATCCAGCTGTTTAGACTTCTGAGTTTTCTACATAGCCCCGTCAAATAATAGAAATTCGATATTTGTGGGGCTTCATAAAACCGCAGAATGCCGGAAATAGAGTAAGAAGAAATAAGGAAAAAGTTATCTCATCGTACCAGTGGAGTTGACTCCTAGGGTGTGGTCGTAGGACGGCCCAGTACCCGGCGTGGGCGTGCCTCCCTGTCTTAACTGCCAATCGAAATCGTCGTCAATGTCTTGGACGTATCCACAAAGTGCATCATCGTCGGTTTCAAAGTCACAGATTTCGAAGATTGCCTTGGCTGCAGTGGCGGGAAACAAAAGGTTAATCGCTCTCAATCTTAAATAATAAATATAATCATGCATGCATAGTCTTGTCTCACAGTCTGTCAAAGGCCAGAGTCACTTCTCATTCCTCAGTGATGATGGAAGAACAAAGTGCACATACATAAAGTAGGCCTGAGACAGCCTAAGTCACTTTCAAGTATTTGCAGAACCCGCTTGGGCCTTGCGGCCTTAGAATAGGACAATTGAAAATCTATTTAAACAACAGCCAATACTCGATATGGACGAGTTCACCAGGTGTTGAATAAGGTGTAAACAGAGAATTGACATCGAAAAAAAGGACTAAATACAGCCGACGTAAAAAAAAATTGAGGTCGACGAATACCCAAATGCGCGCGGATAGGCTGTATACAGTCTATTATTATAACGCATTCCGCATCCAAAACTTACCTTTTTTCTGTGAATATGGGAATAAAAATTAACCCTCGTTTTGTAATTTATTCTTACATAAAAAACCCTTTGCGTTAATCTTACCTTTGTGGAAAACAAGGCAAACGAAGACAATCTTGACAATCAGGGTTGTTAACTCCATTGAATATTAAATGAAGGACAGCACACTCTACCTTGTTGTACGACCAGGGGCACAAATACACTGGCCTGAAACTGCAAGACGTCAGATTACGTCGACCACTTATCAATGAAATGCTATCGAAACATTTACTGCAATATATAAGTGTTTCTGGCTGGCCGGGTCTCTTCCTGTTTACGCCGCAAGCACGCCGGTAGGCTTCCCGTCTGCGGTTCAAATTGCCTGCCAAAATACCAGACGGGGAGTGGAACTGCCAGTGGACGGAAAGGACAGCAAACAGGATCCACAGTTTCTGGTATGCATTTCCCTCGAGTAATATTTTTCTTCGGTCTGCTAATCGCAAGGCTTGCATGGAGATCGTGTGTAAACATCAAGTGTTCCAAAGGTCGACCGGGACCAGTCGGTTGCCCATCACAACGAGGTATTTATTGGACACCAGTTCAATTCATGTAAGTGTCTTATATACACCCGTTTCAGACTGGCGTCCTGTAGAGTCGTGCTAAACCAATTAAAAGCAAATTTTGAATTAAGTACGGCAAGAGTTCGCCAATTAGCAGCGACCAGGTACGGAACAAGCAAAAAAGCGAAACTTTGAGGCGCTCGAAACGACACAAGAGCAACTTGGTTTTAGCATGGAGGAATAAAACTCAGACGTCGCTCTTTTCATTGGCTGAACCCAAAGTTTGAGTCTACAATAGTCGCTCTTAATTATTTTTGGTTCGACGTGATCCTAGAACGCCTGTCTGAAACAGGCTAGGAGTCCATCATAGGGCCGATATGTACCTATTTAAAAAGTCTGAACAGTGGTACCCAACTAGTACCTGAGACCGAATCTAGCAACAGGCCATTACGAATTGACGTTTTCAAGTGTAAGTTGTGTAAACGAAGTTAGTGACATAACTAGGGCTAAATTGGGGGGAGGGGCGCACCCGGGGGTTCCAAATGTTTTCAGTGGGCCATCACAAGAAAATAAGCTGCAGCAATAACGGACATTATTTGAAGATTTCAAATGTGGGGAGGGGTCACCTGGGGGCACGAGCATCCGCTGGGGGGGGAGCACGTTTCCTCCAGTAGTTGCGCCACTGAATGAAGTAACAAACAGATCTGCGATCTTGATAGACGTTTAAGTTTGCAGCTTAGTTGTACATTAAACTTAATTTAGCTGTCAATTAAACTATACGTCTCATGCATTATCGTGTAGTTAATACATGTCTAATACATGTAGGCCTATAAGAAAAAATGAAGTATTATACAGTGAAAGTTCTGTATTCACGAGAACTATGCCTCTAAAATGGTACATGTTCTTCTGCATTTCATTTAATTTTGATCTCAGGCAAGCGTATGTAATTAATCATGGAGGAAGGAAGTGTAACATCTTCACGCCCAATACGTTCAATGACTGGCAGTTACTTTCTCAAGCTGGGGCACGAGCACTGTATATAAATGTTAGCAGACGACTCTTGTATGGTTAAAGCCCTCTAAAGAATTCCTCTTGCAAAAACAATCAGGTTTCGAAAGTACCGATGGATCCCGTGACTTTTTGGGGATGAAAATTCTATAAAAAAAAGTATAATTAAGGCGTTTTGGTCTATTTAAATAAATACAAATGACGATTTTTTTGTGCCTAGTCACAAAAAATCAGGAACGTATTTATCGTGCCCTGATTTTCATGCCGATGTTTCAAGTATGTATGCCGATCTTTCGCTTAATGAGGAGTGGTCGTTCCTATTTGTTCCAGATGCCAAATCCCGTTCAAAATTGCCTTCCATGTGGATCGGTGCGATTCTGGCACGCCTTTCTAAATCGAGGGTAATCCTAAATGTCTTCAGTCAAACTAATTTTTCTTCTGCGATGAAATATGCCAAATTAACTCTTTATCCATTTAAATCTAATTTGGTTTCTAGAACAACGAAACGCAATATAAAAAATTTAAAATGCCATTTTAATTTTTTTTAAACATCCCATGTGCTTCAAATATGAATAAAAGTGAAAAGTCCATCTTAATGAACAAGAGAAAGGAAATATAACACTTCAATGAAACAACAGACAAGATGTGCTTCTTTAGATACAAACAAAGTGATCGGACGATATCTACATCCTGTTTAATGTTGTTATCGAACAATCCCTTTCATCCAATTAGTTCATGATAACATCTCTGAAGTACATTTCTTACTTTACTGACAAAACCAAATGCAAGATCAAACTGATCATCTTGAAATTCTAACCTCAATAACTCTCAGAATGGTTATGTCGTTTACTTCAGAACTTCAGAACAAAATAAGTTGTGTCTAAATATTTCTTCCGTTTTTATATAAATGTTATAAACAAATTTCAAAACGAAGAAAACAAACAACGATTTCTTTGATGCAGAACAAGAGGGTGCCCTTTTGTTATCCCGTAAACAACCTTGCATGTAGTGCTCATTAGCATGCCACTCCAAACATTTGACATTGCAGTTAATAATGTCACCGAAAATATAGTCTAAAAGGTCTCAAATAGGAAAGTGCCTCCCCATTCAGTACGAAACGTTCAGTTGAAAAGTTTTTTCTGTTGATTTACCTTGAAATTACGGGCCTGAGGACGTCGCAGTGATGTCACAAAAACACGCACATTTCTACAATAAGAATCATGTTGGTAATTAGTAGAATTCAAGTTAGTATTTCATGTTAGTATCAAACACTGTTAGAAGATATTGACCAATGCATCAATTCGACTTTTTGAACACTTTAAATACACCTCAACTTGGATGCAAAGTCTGAAGCAAGGTCAGCCATCGTCCTTCCCAGAAAAAAACTGTTTCCACACTTACTAGGAGGTCAACAAGATCACGTTCCTTTGTTCCCCTACCCAGTCACGATGTGTTCTCACCAATAATCCATAACTATATTTGTTTTTCTCTCCCATACAAAACATCCTCGACCAACATCCTTATTATAAACTCGTCGGTCGTTGATTTCTTCTTCTCGCCTACATCGACGGGCAATGTGGATTCCCTCTTGATGAATTCTAGGAAGTCGTTCACTTCACGCCCACCTTGGTACTTCTTGGGTGCAGACTTGCTCCCCATGGGTGCCCAGTATATTGTGGGAATCCTGCAGAAAAGCAAAACTAATCGTTATTCACCGTTGTACAGGCAATATATTCACACCAGATGTTTTCCAAGAAGGCAGGTATAAGAACCCAGGCAAATGTTCTGCTGAGTACATATAAAAAATATTCACGAAAAGTAAAGGTTTTGTGAGGATGGTTCATGATACAAACAGCCGAATGAATGAAGTAACCAGAAGACAGTGAATGTTACACCAAACTAATTCACCACCTTCACTGGAAGACTACAGACTTTAGATCTGGATCCATTAGGCCTGTGAACTGATGATATCAAGCTTTGTTTACCAAATAATTATGAAGGTTTGAACCACTTGGCCCAACCTGGATCCCAAGGGAAAGCACAAAGTGTGAGGTCTATCCAAGCACACTAGTCTTTGGAGTTGTTTCACTGAACACCATGGTCAGGGATTATGTGGTTGTTTCTGTCTTTGGATCTACACTAATTTGGTCCACTTAATGGAACTTATGGGAAGCGTGTGGAAAAAAGTTCCGTTTGTTTGTTTGAAGATGAACAACTGGGAGTCTGTGATTTGCAATACCTTCAAACCAGCCGACTTTCCAGCTTATTTCTGATTAAGCTTCGGGAATATTTTGGAGCTTCCTGGCTAAAAATGAGTGATATTGACGCAATATGTCGTCCATTACTTACCCAATCACTGCGTATTCTACAGGTGCATCGTTAGCGGTTATATCCATCTTTGCAATGACAACATGCTCTACGTCTTTCAACTATAAAAGAAAAATTAACGGCTTTAACACCCAATGTCATCCTTATGACGGTGGACCAAAGTGACGGTGTATACGTTCACTTACAACCCTGTAAACCAGCAAACGTTTAATATGCCAAAATTGCACCTCTAAACCATGCAATTTCTACATAACAAGATTCCATGTGAAACACACTTTCACCAGGATCAGCGGCATGGAAGGGGGGGGCAGTGACGAAATCCTAAAATCGCTCGCCTGTCGAAAATATGAAAAAAAGAGGGCCGGGTGCCTAGAGACCATTGACGACATGATTGCATTTCATAATAAATGCTTTTACCATATTTATACTGCGTAAATGTGTAATCCAGCATGTTGTGATTTTGGTACTCTTTGTGCCGTTTATTCTCCATTTTCCTTTCTATCTCGGAAAGTTTGGCTGTTGGAAGATTAAAACTAAATCAAGTTATGCAAGTCCTTTTTCATGCCTTTGAAAAGTTGGGGGATGATCAAATGGCCCATACCTTGCCAAAAGGTGGGAGAATGTATAATATTCTTCGTCCTTCTTCTATTGTGCCAATGACTCAGAGTTTTTAAGGTTAATGCATTTCCTCACAAGCAACAATGCCCTTCAGAGTCAATCAAGATTTCTGGTCAGAAAGAACAGCAGCAACAGGATCCCACTTCTGCCACCACTTCTGGAGCAATTGGAAAACAACGAACAGGAGCTGCTGGTCACTGACCTTCTCCCCGAGTAGAGTGTACTTTGCCTCCATAGCTTTGCATTGGCCGCACCACGGAGCATAGAACTCAATGAGGACATCTTTGGTGTCGTCCTTGACAATGTCGTTGAAGGTGCTACCCACCACTACCTGCGGAAACAAATGACAAGAGTTAAATCGGCCTGGATACATTTTTAGACGAAATGAATGCAACCGAAACATGGTTTTGTCAGATTCAATGGATTGAAGGAAACTTGAAAAGGGATTTTTGAAACATGAAAATGTCTGGGAAAGCTTTCTTGCAACGCTGCTTTGACTTTCCATCTCCTTTGTAGCAGTTAATAGGAGAAACTTCAACATTCTGGTTTTTGGTTTTATGCATCTTAAAATTTCAGTTCTCATGATGTGTGATGTCATCCAAGACAGAACAACAGTGGCTCTGTAGCTCTGCTTGCAAATACATATCACACTTTCCTTCACTGTCTTTGAGTAACTTTTACTTGTCACTTGTGTACGGTGTTAGGTAGCTTGTGCAAACAATGGTAATGAAAAATCTTTTTTCAAAACATCGTTTGAGGTTATTGTGAGAAGAATTTTTGTGCTTTTCACTATGCTCAACAACAAGTCTTGCCTTGTGTAACAAAAGAGAAATAGTACCCTATGTGTTGATGAAAGGATTTAACCAGAACTAAAAACTCTTACACTCTTGCTATTTCTAATGAAAAGAGGTATTCAAATCTTGTTGGTGTTGTTGTATCTCATAGTAATGTGCATCAAAACAACTTGAACCGAAGGTCCACTGCATGTTTTCTTGAAGTACACAGACTTAAACCCTTTTAACTAATAATACGTGCAGCTTAATAAACTTGAGGCAAAAATACTGACTATGCCATGTGTAAAATGCAATAACCCCCCCCCCACACACACACACTTCTTAAACTCGGGGGATGGACGACTGAATCATCCCCCACTTTTCGTGCTTAAAAACAAAGAGATAAATTTTACCTTGACAAGGACCATCATTAAATTCTGGAACATCTTCGCTTTTAATATATGGTTTGAGCTCTCCCGCTAAAAACTTTTTCACGAAGGTGTCCAGGGTTGTGACTCTGTCGGCGAAGAAAGGTGAAAAGTACTGCGATGCTTTTCTCAAAAGCGTGAGAAACAAAACCACATCTGGCAGTAGACGGTTATAGGGGACTTGTGAAAATGTGCTTGGGCTAGTTTTTTGGAGAGCAAAATTGTCAAAGTGTTTAGCCTGTAAAGGGACAACAAACACCACTATACAAAATAGGTACATGACAACCAAGAGGTCAAATGCGAGGAGAGTGTTTGACTCGAGACTTTCAAAATAGCAGTCAAAGCTGCAGATCAACTGCAGATCAATGAAAGTATATGTTAAGGACGTGATTAAGATAAATGAAGCTGCGGGTGTCCCCGTTAGAGGGTTTCCGAATTTCAAAGACTGAGAAAAAATGCACTTGCTACACATTTTTCCCGCATGCTTTGTTACTTTATTTAAAAGCTTTGCATATTTTGCTGTCGCCGGCAAAAGTTCCAAAACGACATTCTGCCGGTAGCCTTGTTCTGATTGGTCCATAATATGAAGTCACAGCCGGTGATGTCCTTGCACTCAACTTGGCGCGGCCCGTAACATAGCAAGTGTTGGCGTTACTCAGAGAAATATCAAAGGGCTGCGTAGCACCTTGATCAGAATATTGAAAAAATACATATAGTATCGCTCTTAATTTATCTTATTGTCGAGCTTTCCATAACTATGTACCTTCGTCAGGACAAACAGATTCATCTGTGCACTTTTTATATGCACTTTGTATATATTATCTCTACTTTTGGAGTTGGGGAACTTTTACCAGGAGTGGCAAAATATCCACCGCCTCTCTAAAACCTTGCAGGCAGCTAAATGCCAGATGAACTTACGAGAAGGCTTCCTCCATCTTGAATTTCTCTCCATGCTGCCATGCAACAACGCTGATTTCAGTTTGTGAACTGATTCCCAGGGATCCGAGAACGTCTTCGAACTGGGCTTTCCAGGCAATTGCGAAGGTCAAGCCCTCATCTCTGTAGTTCTGGGCAACCCTCATTACCCTGCAAAAAGGTTTTCAAGATCTCCACTTGATACGGAAAGCTTAAAGTAAGATGTAAGATTCCTTAAATACCCTAAAATGTCACAATATACAATCAGTGAAAGACATCATACACCGAAGCGTTATCATAAAAACGACAACTTTTTATCTCAGTATTCCGTCTTTCCGAGATATCTCAGAAACGCCGAAACGCTGATGGTCACTTTAAGCTTCCGTAACTTGGTCACAAAACACAGAAACATTTATTCCATCAAAACGTTGGTTTAAGTACAATGAATCAGATTTTTTAGGGGGGGTATTCACAATGTTTTTCAAGCAATTCCTACTGAATATGAAATAATGTTGCCACATGAAACATCAGATGGGGGGTATATGAAGTTTCAACTCACCTGTTGCGCCAATAATTGGTGCCTAAAACAAAAACAAACAAACCCAGGAAAAAAATTAACTGCAAGTATATCGTCGAAGGCGGATCCTGAACAAATTTTTCAGGGGAAAGTTTGGGGGCCAAAAGATTTGGAAATTTCTTTGCATGACAATAGAACAAAAATTACTGGCCTGAATATAGTTATTTTGCGGGATCCTGTCGAGAGTGCATTGTGAGTGATAACGTGTGGAAATTAACGTAAAGACGGTCACAAAAGCCAAGCAGAATTACCCGTTTATATTATTCAAGCGTGGATTTTGAAGAATTAGACAAGCGTAAACTTTTTTCTCAAGAAAGGGAATAATTTTGGATAACATACCTGCAGGATTCTTTAGGAAGTCTACCTCGTAGTAGACGACAACTAGTGGTTTCCGGAATAAATCCACGTTAAGTGGTGTCATGTGACCACATAGCCCCATGCTGAACAATTAAAAGTGGATGTTGCATCAAATGTCAAAAATTGATTGCCAAATGTCTGTCACAAACATTGGTGAAAGGACTGGTACATTGTTAGATCGACAAAACAAATGTAAGTATGTTTCCCGAGACAAAAGGGTCTGTAGAGGTTTGGCGCGGTGTAGCCACCGTTCTTTCGTTTTTCAGGGAAACCCCCTCAAGTTCAATACCTGACATTCCCAACATCCACTCTCTCGCTAAACCGTTGTTGTTGCTCAATATCGTTTTTATTGTGCTTTATTTTGGTGTCTTGGTAAAATGCGTGTTCTTTGAGCAAAGTTTTTCCCTCTTTCTATTGGCACATTGCAGGATCTCATATCCTGTATTGATTTAAATAACCACTTAAATATTATTTACAAAATATTTCTAAGTCATTCTAATAGCCGGAGCCTGGGGAATACCTCCACACGGTTTCCTTTTTTCATATCTTCAATTTCAGGTAAATGTCATGAGTTTAGTGACAGCCATCACAATCAGTGTTCAGAGGTCATCACCAAACAAATCTGCTCAAAATTTCAACCCCAAAAATGTTGTATACTCACCCATTTTGTCCAACAAACTTTTCTATGTTAGTCTTTGTAATGGCGCCGGACATCTCTACTTCGTTGCCTTCATATTTGTTTCTTAGATACGCAGGTCGGAAAAGGACAACAGCACTGTATCAAAATTAATTAGAGATGAAGGGGCATATTTAAAGAAAAAAGTAATTTCAACATTCATACAAATGATTGTTTCTTCGTTATGCCAGCGTTAAATGCAAAACTCACATCATGCAATGACACTGTAGTTTTGGTATGGGGGAGGGGAAAGAAGAGGTGGTCTTAAATGGTGGTCATCTTGTTTGCATATAGAGTTGAACCGAATGACATTGGATGGGTAGTACAGTGTAGTGATTTTAGTGAATTTGGAGGAAATTCTTAGTGGGCTGGTGGTCAGGTTTTTTAAGGGACGCGTCCGGACGATGAGTGTGATGGGAGGAAGGGGGTAGATGGTGAGTTTGGGGGATGAGCTTGTTTAAAAATTGGACCGACGATGGTTTTGCTGAAGGGGTGTTGATGATGATCAGTTATTTACTTGGGGGATGGCAAGGCTGTTTGAACTGGGAATGGGAGGGGTGAGTTTGTTTGATGGGGTGGCTGCTGAGTTTGGGGCGAGCTTGTTTTAACCCTCAAAGAGCCGGGGGGCAGAATCCGCCTCCCCTGTTGATTTTTGCTCATTGCATCTCCGGGATTAATTTCTGCGTGCTTATACTTTATGGTAAATTTTTTCCAATGTATTAGCCTCATTTTGACCCCAAATTTATGAAAATTGGACGTGGCGTTCTCGCTCATCAGTGAAGAAATTTAGGAGGCAGGGTGAAGTGTGATGTGAAATTTACCATTGACTTTGTACCCAGAAGTACATCGTACAAGGGGCGAAGTGGCTTCTTTTTGTCAGGAAGTCTCTTCCTTTTGGGAAGGTCTATTAATTTTATAATTTACTTATGCATGTTATTGTATACAGCTCATGGCATCTCTGGTTTCATTTCCACTGAATATAAAATCCACACAGCATCTTTGATGTGAAAAATGCAATAAAATCGCCCAACAATCGAAAGAAGAAAAAATGGTATAATATAATAATATAATTTACATAAACTTAATTAATTTGCATCTAATTTCACACAGATGATTAGTATGTATGCCTTCATGACACTGCAAAATTTCATTGAAATACGTCATCGTAAGGCCGAGATCTGAAATCTGCCCCCCGGCTGTGACAAGGCCAAAACCCTCAAAGGGGTGGGTTCATTTGAAGGGGGACAGAAAATGGATATCTTCGATCAATTTCCTACTCAAAGTAGCCAAATTCTTCGTTGACTTCTTCTGAGAGAGAGTAGACTACTCGGTAGTGGGTGAAGAGGTCGGGAGCAGCCTCGACTAGGTTTTCTTTCTCTTTGCCGTCTTTGGTGAAAAAGCCTGGGAAGAGAGCATAATAGAGCTGCATCTAATAATGAATGCATTTTCTTTCAATATAAATTGGTGAGCAGTGTTACTTTTTGGTTGGTAGTGACATTTATAAGAAGCATCCAATGGTCCTGTTTGTTAGATTGAGTACATGGTATATAAATTGACAAAGAGGAATTTGTTCCATTTGATTTTATGTAAAGTTGAAAGGCCTCGCATGCCATTCAAATCCTGTGTAT